AACGTTCCCAGCTGCCTCCACTCGCTTATTCTTCATACTTTACCCATCTATCGCCTTCCCCCCCAAACAAGGAAAACTGCGTTAAACATTTTATTACATAAACAGGCTCTATCAAACTTCCCATGACTTTTCCCTCCTCATGAAGTTGCATTCACTCTGACGGACAATACAACAAAAAATTAAAAAATTGCTTAGAAACCAGGAACTTAAGGCTTTGTCCCACCCAAACTCAGTTAGGAAAATCTCCAAACAGAACAAAACGAGAAACAAAATTGACAGTCACTCTATTCCTCACCTAATTCTCCCTGGAAACGTTGCCCTTATCTCCCCACAGGAAATCTGTGAATCCCTGAATTCCGTCTTTACCTCCTCGTTCACCAATGATTCAATTCCCACTACAGCTAGAATGCCATCGTCCACTACTGAATCTTTGAATGTCATTCACTTTACCATCAAAGATACTGCTTACCTTCTCAGTGTAACTAAGTCTTCCTCTCGACCTGGACCGGATGGACTACCTCCAAGTACTATACGCTTTGAGGGACCTGATATGCCCTTCATCTTGTTAAAACTATTTTCCCTCTCGTTGATCGGTGGCATTGTACCATCTCAATGGAAACAATCTAGCATCATCCCACTTCACCAAACGGGTCCTACTCATGAGCCATCCAACTACTTGGATGGAAAAATTGTTAAAAGGCATCTCTCGGAATACGTTTTCAATGCAACCTACTTAGCAAGAGCCAACCTGGCTTTCTTGAATTTCGTTCTTGTCAAACTTGCCAGTTTGGCTTCTTGAACCTTCTTACTAGAGCAGTGGATTCCAGTGAAGCTTAAATAGTAGTATACTCGGATATGACCAAAGCTTTTGACAGAGTTTCGCACCCACGGCTTATTACCAAAGCCCGATCTTATGGGATAGGTAACCCTCTCCTCTCACGGCTTTCTTCTTACGTATCAGACTGCTCTCAAGTGGTTTCGATAGAGAATGCTTTTTCCAATCCACAACCTGTTAACAGTGGTGTGATTCGAAGTAACCTATTAGGTTCTCTATTGTTGCTTTTGTATATAAACGTATTTAAAAAGCCATTCATTGTGGAATCACCTTCCTTTTTGCCGATGATATTAAAGTGGTTTATTCTTTCTCATCAAATAAGCTAATGGACGTCCAAACTAAATTGGTCAGACCTTCCTGCGCTTGATCGTTGGTTGATGAATTTTGACGTCAAGTGCCTCTGGGTACTTTGACTATAAACGGTATTCCTATTGCCCATCCCTTATCCGTTCGCGACCTCGGACTCAGCTACTCTTTTTCTCTTAATTTCTTACAGCATTGTGCTTTGCAAGTAGCCAAGGTCAAACACTCAGTAAATCTTTTCTTTAGGACCTTTAGTCTCTCCAAAAGCATACTCACTCTATATAAATCCCACACTAGGCCGTTGTCAGAGTTTTCCTGAATGTCGTATTCAAGAATGAGAAGGCTGGATAGAGTAGTCATAGAGAACGCCCAGCGAAGATTTACTAAACAATTTCTAGGCCGAACCTCAGACTTGAAATATATGGAGCAACGTCTCCTCTTAAACCTCGACCCCTTATGGTTAATGTGTGCAAAACATAACCTTACTCTTCTGCACGGATTCCTGTACAAGCGGGCCCATTCGGTAGATGTAATTCGATTTGAGGTTGATCCGCCATACCCCATTCGTAACCATGTAAACGTTCTCCCCTTACCTAATGGCAGCACAAATAATAGCGGAAAGTTTTTCCTAGGTAGTAATTCGCGCCTCTGGAATAAACTTCCTGTGGAAATAAAGAAAATAACGTCCACCTCAGCATTTAGGAATCATATCCGTTGATTTCCAACTGTATCTCAAATAACTCACCTGCACTACGACGCATCATTAACTTGTGAAAATGGGCTAGATTACTAAACGTCGAGGGTAGATCTTAAGATACGAATTATTGTGTTACGTACTTGTGAATTATTGCCACCTACTATTCCTTAATTGATACCACTCAGATCTCGTTTTTATTTGACTCATTAGGCTCGATTCTGTGGCACATACTAACCAGGTACCAGTTTTCACTTTCTCAACTTAAATCCTACCAGTACACTGACTCAGCTTCAAAGCTAAATCTTTGGAACGTGGCACGTTTTGGTACATACTTATACAAGCATTGTGACCCAATAATCATTACTCACAATCCTCTCGGCCTCGGTCTTATTTTACACGATTTATCACCCAATTCCTAATATTTTGGCTCCAGTTTCATCTCGATCCTTCTGAATCTCCTCATATCCGTGGCGCATACTGACCGGGAATCAATTTTCACCTTTAAACCCATCTCTAATCAGTACGCTGGTCGAGATTCAAAGCTAGCTCAATGGAACACAAACCCTTTAAGTGAAAAAACTACACTAGATTTGTCACCCATAATTCTCAACAATTAAGTTCCGTCCTGTCATGTCAATCCAATCCCGTGCATTTTTCTTTCACATATATGTTTATATTTTTCGGTATTTATCCTCTTCGCATATTTTTTCGTAACATGCTGTGTTCTCCCTTTCCCCTTCTAAGTACTACTCCAGACTGCCGAGTTCCGCTTTTTGGTTTCAGATTTGATTGGCTCGNCCTGCCGAAGACTTGGGGTCTACACCCACAATGGACATTTGGGCTCCGGCAATGGTTGTTGGGCGCGGTTGTATCCACCGTTTTTGACTACATGCGTCCGCATTCTGGACCAGGTTGAGAATCACACCCATGCCTCACCTACAAGGTGTTTTAAGTTTAGGTGTTTATCCTGTAGTCAGTCCCACACCAAAGCGACCAACGCCCAAATAACAAATAATAATAACAGTATATTTCGCGAAGCCCGCGAAGCATGTTAGTGCACACGATCAACATTTGTAACAATATGAAAAATGAACGGTGGAGACAAAAAGTCATAGTACAAAGAGTGTAGGAACGCAGTTTTCAAACAGGTAAGTAAAATATCGTAAATGTGCCTTGCGTTGAAAACGAAACACAAAGCGGACAAGGTCATAAAATGGAGTATTGTGATCTGTTATGTAATGCACACCATTGTGAACGTTCGTCTTATGAAAAGTAAGGGCAAGACAGAAAATTGGGAGTTGGATAATCCGCTCGGGAGAAAATGCGTGTGAACGAGTCCAAAGAACAGAAAGAGAATAGCAAAGAAGAAAGATACATAACTTCAGAGGCAGAGCTGCAATCTAGCTGGAGGAGAGTACTGTAATACAGAAAGAAACGACAGATGACTTATAAATAAACTGTTTCAAATGTTGATGCTGTTGGAAAGACTTATGCGATCACGGAACAATGGGCTTCGGGCTTCACCGTTAACGGACTGATTGGTTTTTATTTATATTATTGAGGTGTTGGTCTCTTTGATGTGGGATAGACTGCACGCTAGACACCCAACCTTAAAACACCTTGTAGGTGAGGCATGGGTGTGATTCTCAACCTGGTTCAGAATGCGGACGCATGTAGTCAAAAACGGTGGATACAACCGCGCCCAACAACCATTGCCGGAGCCCAAATGTCCATTGTGGGTGTAGACCCCAAGTCTTCGGCAGGCCCGAGCCAATCAAACCTGAAACCAAAAGGCGAAACTCGGCAGTCTCGGTTAACATCTAGCTGAGAAGGGAAGTGGGGAACAGCGTGATATGAATGAATATGCGGAGAGTGTAACTGCCCAAATATAAATATATATATGTATTTAACAGCAAAGTGCGCACAAAGGAAAAAGTTCAAAATGATAGAGAGATCCAGTAAAACCGGGAGTTCAACACAACAGAATTGAAATATAATGTGAAGAGTTAAGTTCAAGAAGTGTACTATGTATGACGAAATATTAAGTCCGGATGTCATTTGTGAAAGATCACCAAATGGATATATGGGATTGGGGTACAGATTTAGCTGCGGATAGGTGACACTACTTTTATCAAGTATTCACCGAGAGGGGTTGGTTCCACTTCTCAAAGTTTGAGACTCAAGAAGTGCACTGTATGTAAAGGCAGTCGAATAGGCTTCTTGAGGATGTTGGGATTCAAAAGTCTAGTCCGTTTTCAAACGCTATGGATGCGTTACTTTGGTTGTGCAATTTGATCATTTGAGTTAAATTAAGAAATTTGCGAATTAGATTCTTAAATCTGTTGCTAGATGTCGTCTGTCATATTTCGACTGGAAGTTTATTCCATAGACGGGGATAGATTCCTAGGAAAAACTTCCTCCTGGTAGTAGTTCTGTCGTTTTCTATAGGAAGAACGTTAATGCGGTTCCGAATAGAACATTACGGATTAATTTCGAAACGGATTCCGTCTATGGAATGGGCTTTCCCATACACGAAATTGTGCAGCAGACAAATATTGAGTTTGGCACAACGTAACCATAGCGATTCAAGCTTCAAAAGGAAACATCTTTTCATGTAACATAACTCAGTGGACCAGCCGAGGATATGTTTGGTAAATTTTCGCTGGACATTCTCGATGGCTACTCTATCTAGCTTTCTCATGCTGGAGTATACTACGGAGCAAAACTCTAACAAGGGCCGGGTGTGGGATTTGTATAAGGTGAGTATGCTCTCGCGCAGGCAAAAACTCCTACAGAATAGGTTTATTGTTCGTTTGGCCTTGGCTACTTGCAGAGCGCAATGTCCCGAGAAGTTAAGGGTACAGGAGTAATTTAGTCCAAGGTCACGAACAGAAGATGAAAAAGCATTAGGGGTTCTATTAATGACCAAGGAACCTGGAGGCACTTGACATCGATAGATTAATAGATTTGACTTCTTTGCAGAGAAAGTCACACGTGGAACACCAACGATCGAGCAAAAGAAGGTCTGATCGGATGTCGTCCAGGGCCTCGATTAACTTATTAGGTGGAGGAGAGTAGACAACTTTTTTGTCATCTGCAAAGAGGAAGGAGGTCTCAGAATGAATGGTTTTGGAAATATCATTTTCTATACATAAGGAATAATAGGGTACCTAATACGCTGCCTTGTATTACGCCACTGGTAACGGGTTGGAGTTGGGAGGTAAACTTATCAATCCCACCCCCTCTGGGAGCGGTCTGATAAGTAAGAGGCGATCCACGACCTATCCCATATGATCGGGCTTTGGTATTGAGCCGTAGGTAGGAAACTCTGTCAAAAGCTTTGGACATATCAAGATATACTATAATGTACGCTTTACCGGTGTCCATGGTTTTGGTAAGAGGGTTTAAGAAATTATATTGATATGTTTGGCAAGAGCGAAATATTAGGAATGCATGTTGGCTCTTTCAAATAAGTTTGCTGTAAGAAGATAGACAGAGAGCCGCTGTTATATATATAAAGCAGACTGTCAGTTAATGGTGAAGCCTCAAAGCCCATTATTCTCTGTCCACAGAAGTCAGTCCTTGAAACAGTTTATTTATAATCCATTTGTCGTTCTACTGTTTTTCTATGCACTTCCTTGGCTAGATCATAGCTCCACCTCTAAAATTCTAAATTTTTCACGTTGACCATTCTCTTTCTATTCCTTGAACTTGTTTCCGTGCAGTATCTCCCGAGCGAAAAGTTCCACCCCCCAGTTCTGTGTCTTCTTCAAGGTTCTTCATAAAACAATCGTTTACATTGATGTGATCTCCATAACAGATCACCCTCAGTACTCCATTATAAGACCTTGTCCTCTTTGTGTTTCGTTTTTATTGCAATGCACATTTTACGATGTCTTCCGTACCCGTTTGTAAATTACGTTCTTACCCTCTCTGTACAATTACTTTTTGTCTGGACCGTCAC